GGCAAAACCTGGCGCATGCGTATACGTTATTCAGCTCTGTCGCGGGTAGTCAGTGTAAGATCAAAAACGCCTCTGCGGCGCTTACATTTTACAGTTTGAAGTCACTGTCCTATAAACAGGTAAGAAGAGGGCTATCTGTCGATAGTTTTCCTTGGTAAGTCTTCTGCTACTTATTTATTCCAAGAGCTTGTATATGAAGGTCTCAGCAGAAATTAACTCAGGGTCCCCTTCTTGGAGTCTGCCGAGACCCGAGAGAGAAATTTATAGCGGGGTTCTTTCCTTCACTCTCTGCGACGACTCTAACGGCGTGTCTATTTGTTTAGAAATGATCCTGGGTGGAAGCCAACACAAGTTTCTCCTATTGATTACTGCTATGTGCAGCCGCACCATATTCCATCCGTGAATGCAATGTGTCGGGAATTTTTTTGGCCAGGAATTGATTGTGAGTTGTTCTCTGTTTAAATTTGTTTTGTGTTACTTGTTGTTTCTTAACCAGACTAGCATTCCTGAAAATTTTTCAACATATTTTGGTAGTTATAAGCTGTTTCTAACTTTATTGCAAGGGTATAGAAAACAATTTTGATTGGCAAATTAGATAATAATTATTCAATAGGATTTCCGCGTAGTATTGTTTGTGTCAGCCTAATCTTCTAGAGAAGTTTTACGTACGTGTATGATATTACAGTGTGTAACTATTGAGTTGAAATTAACTGAGCACGTATTTCTTATGTTACTGATTATCATGCCGTCTATACCTCGTACTAACCGAGTCCAAGGTCCGTACTTTAAGTTAAGGACCGAATATTTTTGGCGCGGGTCATAATATGAGCGGAAAAACAAGGTTTGTAACTTACAGTACGGACCGTGAAACGTGTTCAGTAAGAATTTTATTTATCTCTAGGCTCAAAATAGAGGGGGAAGATCTCAATTCAAACTAACTTTTGAATTTAGCGGGATTTACAGCAATATTGACTAGTCATTGCGCACTTACCAACTAAGAGATTTGATAAAAGGTAGTTCTTACTCTTTGGTGAGTGGACGAAGCTATAGTGAGTCATGATGCTAGATGTAAAATGACAGACATTTTTATCTAGTATCATAGAAGTCATTGGTGTGCTTTCAAATATCTCTAAGGTGTATTTTATTTATCTAACGCCAACGCTTTCTCCAACACTCTATACATGTATAGCTGATGATTTTTTTAAATACCCCGTCTTTTTATATCTCCTTAGTGTCGGAGTGTCTCCAGTACCCTGATTTCAGTNTTAAGTAATACTTTCTTGGCTTCGATCAGTATAATTTCACAACGATATAGTTTTTTTGTAACACTGTTTTAGAGCTTGCATCTTGTATTTTTGTCTAGGTTCTTTTGTGACTAGCATTAAATATTTTTTTGGCTTGTAGGTTATTGATCCTGGAATTGAAACTGAATATGAAGAAGTGGATGAGATTTGTTATTGCAATGGCCTTAAGGGAAGGTGAGAGGCTCATTGTCAATTGATCATTCTTTATCTCAAAATTGCAGCTGCATGAATACCATGAAAAATCTAAATGCCTAACATTTAAATTTGAATAGCTAGATGTATAAATTATCTTGACTTAAAATATGTTATGATTGTGTTTGTAATGGTGCTGCATCAGAAATGTTCTATAGTTTTTCCTTGCGGATATTAATGTGATGCTCAGATAGAGGAAAATGTTGAATATTCTTCTTAAAAACATAATACACAACTGAGATAACAAGAAAATAAAAATGGATAACAGGGCTCGACACTAACTTTTCAACTTACTAGCCAAGTGGCTAGTGACATCTTAGATGTTTTTAGATGTTATGACAATTTCAGCCTGTTTACTAGCCAAACTGGCGAGTGGAAATTAAAAACCAGTAGCCAAAACTGAATTTCTACTAGTCCGTGGCTAGTGGGCTACCCTTAGTGTCGAGCCCTGGGATAATTATTCTCTACAAGTAGTCAGTGGCCATAGTGTTCTCCTTGTAAGGTGGTAACCAATAAAATTTGAGCTTGTAGTTCTCCTCATAGCCACCTAAAATTGGAATTGGGATTCGTAAGAATTCAATACTGGAAATAAGGATTGCTTTACCAGTTTGAAACTTTGTTTTTATCAGTTTTGCTTAAAACAAGGAAGAGCATTGTGGCCATGATATTTTTTGTGAATTGAGAATACAGTATTTTGATTTAACATGTCCACTTTCTTATGCTCTTTTCAGCAATATGGTGCAGTGTGTTCTATGTCGTCGACTGTTTCATTTGGGTGAGGATTAGAGAATAATCAAGATACTGTTGAACTTGTGTAAAGGAGCACCCTACTGAGCAGTCACCTCTATCAAGCTGTCAGTAAAGGTCACCCTTTACTGAGTCCTAACACCTATTGATGTTGTCTTCCATCTGTATCAAACTGTCACTTAAAGCTGAACCACTACATAAATAAAATTAAGAATAATCCCTCAGAACAGCAAAATTTATTGTATGTTTATCTCGTGGAATCAGTTATAGTACTTTGAGTTCGAATGTCCTCAATTCATTGCTTATTATCTTTCCTCTTTAGACTGATAGAGCAATTATTGCGCATGAACATCATACAAGTCATTTGCTGACTGACCTGTTCTAAGTGGTCAAAATGTATTAAGGGATCACCTTGACATTCCCTATGGGTGATTGCTTGATATAAACAGGTGAAATTGGACAGCTAATTCTTCCACAAATGGGGGCTGTTAAGAACGAATCGCATTTAAGTATTTTGTTATTACCACAATCAGGGTGATAATTAAATTTATTTTTATTATAATTTAGATTGCCTAAAGAGTGGAAAACCTAGCACGCTTGTGGGTGATGTATTCTTTGATCTCACCTGTGCATCTTGTTCTACTGATGGCTCAGAGAATTGCACCAGACAACATTTAAGCTGGTAATTTATTCTTCCACATCCAATATCCATTATGCTGACCCAAACCTTCCCTTTTATTTTCAATCTCACTTAAACCTCCCACATTTTTGCTCTGCAGCTAAAGTCATGCTTTTAATTTTACTATTACACTCCATTTTACTAACTGAATGCCTGGAACAGGCTAAAATGGACCAAGTATCTTCCCAGAGATGACTCACAATCAGCTTGATTGCCCTCCTGAGGATAAGAATATTAGATTTGTCCTTCTAAGTTGCTTTATATCATGAAATTGTGGAAATACATGTACAGTCATGAAAGCTTGTTCACATTGATTTAACCTTCTCACTCCCAAGATATCATTTTTTTTAGTAATTATCTTTACACTCTGCCTTACAATTCAGTTGAAGTTAGTTAGGGAAATTTGGTCTCAGATCAACTAGGAATACCTTAATTGATACTTTTCTTTATTCTTTATGCTGTAAGGAGAAATTTTGTTGTGGTCACTCATGTGAGTTAAAGTGTACCAAAACCCAAAAATTTTTTTTTCGCTTAACGAAATAAGCTTATTTTTTGGAGTATTTCTGTGCCGTACTAGTCCATCCCGAATGGCGCCGCGGAGGGATTGGAACCTATATGATTTATCACTTGATTCAAACTTGTATGGGGAAGGACGTCACACTTCATGTTTCCGTCACGAATCCAGCTATGCTTATGTATCAGAAGTTTGGTTTTAAACCTGAAGAGTTGATTCAGGAATTTTACAGTAGATATTTACCTCAAGATAGTCCACAATGCAGGCATGCGTTTTTTCTAAGGTTGAGGAGGTGAACTTTAACTGAAAATGATAGGGGAATTCTTAGGAATAGCAAATTTAGCATCATGAGTGAAGGATTACCATACAACCATCAAAGTTTGAGGGGGGAAGCAGAAATTACGACCTAGCTGTTAAAAACCAAATCACGACCTTTCGAATAAAAATTAAAGTATTCAGTCTGACGACGGGGTAACGCTGGTAACGTCAGATTCAGAAACTCTTTACTTTGACCAATTTACATTATCAACTTGTATAATAAAACCAAGTTATCTTGTAACCCCCCACCGACGCATCAACACAGTTTCTTTTAAAAACTTACCACCCTTAATTCAAACTCATTTCCACACGAATGGTTGGGCACCAGGCCTCGTTTTGAAAAAGAGGCTAAAGTAACTCGGAAATTTCCTATTGTTGACATGGTAAATGACAAGAGTAGGCTTTATGCTGCTCCACAGTCTCCAATTTGACCATTAAGTTGTAATGATCAATTCTCTTCACTGTTTACCTTATGTTTCACTTACCTTTAATCTTGAGAAATTGGTGTTTAGTCAATGCACGCTCCTTAGATAAAACTTTTCTCTTTTCTCGATACCTTCCTGCTCTGATTACAGTTATATTCCATTGGGAAATTCTCCTTTGGTCGCTCTCTTTGCAGACCTTATTTAAAAGACTTCTAGGGAGGGGAGGGTGCGAACTACATCAGCATGCCGGTCATTACAAGTTTACTTATGCCTTTTTGTATTAACAGCTTAAGGCATAATGAAACACCTCTTTTTGTTGCCTGGCCTAGACCTCTCTCCGTTATCATTTACCGCGTTCATTTTGATGTATTTTAATGAAAATTCAAGTTTAAAACATCAGTTATCTATTTTACAAGAGGCATTACTTACTGCTTAACATGTTCCTTTAAGGTAAAAAAAAGGCCATAGGCATGTATGCATAGGCAGGCATGCATACTTCTTGAAACGCAATGTTAGTTAACGTGTATTTTAGTGAAACAGTCTCAAAGAAATATTATAAAGATGTCGCCTTATAAACCCAACTGATTGGAGGCACACCAGTTTGTGGTTATTTAAAAAGTATGGCCAATGAGATAATTTAACCCAGTGCAACCGAGAACCCCTTTAGTGGGTTGGGTTCAAGTTTTAAACCTTGGATCCCAGATTACCAGTACAGCGTGGCTGAGCGGCCTCCACTGATAATCCTGAACAATCATGCACACGTTCACAGTTTTACTTGCATGAGAATGAAAACCTTTTTATTACAGTAAGATTCTGGCATTATATGTATTTCGTATCATATCAGTAATTAATCAAGTCCTGGGTGGGTCACTGTCATGTATTCTTGTGCTAGAGATACTTTCCTTCAACAATACCTATCTCAATCTAGCAGTGTAAATGGGCACTAGCAAACTTCCACGATCACCCGACGAAATACTAGGTGGGGGGGGCGGCGGCATCTCTTTCAGGGGGAAGAAGCGATATTCTTAGTCGCTTCATGCCATTGCTAACAGAGTAAGATCTGGCGAGATGCACCTTTAGGTTCATAAGCTTACTTTGCCTCATATGCCTATATACAATTTGCCACTGTTTCAAGTGCAATGTACATAACGGATACACTCACAATTATTTCAAGCACGGGAGAGGGGTAGGGAAACGAATGATTTACTTGCATTTTTTGTTTTTGGTTTTTTTTTTACCCTTTTTTTTTTCAAGCCCTATTTTCAATACTGCTAAGGTAGTGTTCATTATTGCGAGGATCGCTTTCATATACATTTCTGAAAACCGCAGTGCACATAAATGATTATATTACACAAACTCCGTTCGAAATATATGAGAAAACAGGTAGAATTCCGCTTATTTGTGCTTCGAACCACTTTTTAACGCATATTAAAGCCTGTCCCCAACCAGGGACAGGTCAAAAGGTGATGCAGTCCCATAGTGCCCCTGTACAAGCACATGGTCCCATGATCCTTTGCATATTTTTCTACTGCGCTTCGATCCACACAGGTAAGTGAACTTTTGGCGTAAACTTTCTCGCTTTATTTTTCCCTTTCAGCTCTCTTCACACCTCGCTAACGAGGAAAGGTTTTGAAGATATTTTCTTCAAATTGACGTGGCTTTCTCAATCGCAGAATACGATGTCACTTAGAAAACGATCTCATCGTTCTCTTTCGCCACACGGCCGCGACCGCCGATCACCGACTCGGAGTGAGGCTAAAAGGCCCAAAACCCCCGAGAAACAGCCCGCAACGGGCGAAAATACGCTGGATTCTATCCTGCAGACCTTACAGCAAATTCAGTCTGACATGGCGAAGAAGAACGATCGGGTATCCTCAGTGGAAATTCTACTACAACAACCTTCAGGTTTCGCGCCATCGTTTCCAACTTGCGACGACGAAATTTCTCTCATGGCGCTCTCACATAACGAGTTAGAGGATGGCCTCTCTCAGGGTACTGTGCCGCAGCAACAGGCTGTTAAAGCAAAACACAAGGCTAGTAAGCTATCACGCGAGGCCATTAGGCCACCAAACGAGACTTATGTGTCCCATACAGTGGAGACAACTCCACCAAAGGAAATGGCCCCTGACAACTCTTTTTAGTCATTATATGACCCTGACTCAGCCCTCTATTCATGGGTCCCTCAGAAGGATTTCTCCTCCTTAGAGAAACAGTTTCGTAGGAAACTCACCTATGACCAGGTACGTGAAATTCTCGACAATTATCATATTCCAGCTGTCAGCTGTTTATTTATGCCTTCCCTGGACCCTTCTGTCGCAAATCAAATAAGCCCTCCGCAAACAAAGAAGTACGTACTGGATCGCGATAAGGAGATGGCTACGGTCCAAAGGGCCTACCTTAACACAACAGGGCCTCTCTGCTCTCTTCATGATGCTCTTACCTCTGGAACCCAGGTTCCCATGGAGGACATTGAAAGCATAGTTGAGCAAACATTGTGTCTCCTTGGTTCAGCAAACCATCAAAGGTCAGTATTACGTAGAAAGAAAGTTCTTGCAAATATCAATAAAGATAAAATAAGTCTGGCTGATCAGCTACTCCCTAATGCCAAACGTTTCCTGTTTAGAGAGGATTTCCTTGCGGTTGCTTCAAAACAAGCAGAACTCTCTTGTGGCGTAGCCAAGAACTTATCGCATGCCCAAAAGCCCAAACAAACCTTCCAAAAATCTGGGAACACAAAGGACAGGCAACGCCGTGGGACCCCGGGCACTTTCTCTAAGTACCAAGCAAACCGACCAAAAAATGA